ACTTGTCAGAGTTTGCAAAAGCTGCAAAGAAGAAGCTCCAGTCGGTAAGATATCAGAATTCCCACAGAGGGGAAATGTACATTGTTACAGCAGTATAGATGGAGAATACAAATAAAAATAACACACTATTAGATGAGAAAAGGCATGCACATAGTATGTAAAATAAAAAATAAATGTACAGACCTACACATTGATGGAAAATAAGTAAGTAAGCAGTATTTATAAAATAATTGTAACATTGTAGAATACTGTGTGGTAGTGGGTTGATTGCAGTGGTAAATAGAACTGAAATGAGATATTTACATAGTAACATACAGATTGTTGTTGGAATGGACAACCTAAGAATTAGCAGCCAGTAGTTAGTCAATCAGATGCAAGGTCTGAATTTCTTTCTATTCAATCGTGTGGCAACTTCTTCTTTTATGTTTCCAGCTGAGTAACCATCAGTTTGAGGAACTTGCCATGGATGTTTACGATGAAGTCGACAGAAGAGAAACGGATGCAGGTGAAATTGCAAGAAGTGTAACAAATATAAAATAACCATTATTTGTATCCGTTTTTTTTATGTATATCTTAAATATATTTATATTTTGTACAGTGTGGTTGGCCACTCAGAACCACAGCACACTGGTTACAGACACCACAGTTGTGCCTTTTCTTCCGGTCAATCCAGAGTACTCATCCACCAGGAACCAGGCAAGTCATGGCACCAATGTAGCCTTGTGTTTATTTGTGTATGTGAAGACTTGATTCAACAGTGCAGCCTTTATTTTTAATTCTACGCTTTGATACATTTGTTTTTTTCAGGGTCGTCAAAAATTGGCACGGTTTAGTGCTCATGAATTTGCCACCCTGGTTATTGATATTCTCACTGATGCTAAACGGCGGCAGTGGGGTAATTCCTGCGACAGTCCCAAAGGTACAATTTATCTGTTTATTTTTTATAACCAACTTTGAAATTCCTTGCTATTATACTTTTTGTTTTCTTTTATTAAGGTTTTTATGGAAGTGAATATATTCACTAGCATACACACAGTAATAAACACTAAGAATAAAGAGTTGCAATTAGTTGCATATAAAAGTGGGTTCCAGTTATATATGCCAACATCAGTATGTGGACCATATGTATGGATGTTTGTGCCAAAAACAGATCAGGGCTTTTTATAATTAAAACTCCTGCATTCTGTAAATAATGCAAACACATCACAGACTGCTTTAAAGTCAAGGGTGTTCTAAAGATTCAGTAAATGGAAAGACATATGTTCCTTTAGCTTTGTGATTTATACAGCTGCTTGTAGCCTGCAGGGCCTGTTTGATCTCTAATGCTTTGATCTGGTGGTCTGCTTTCAGAGAACGTGGAGTTGATCCTTCAGGGAATAAACAGTCGCCATAACAGTGACAGCCAGGATAATGACCAGCCTGATTACGACAGTGTGGCATCAGATGAAGATCCAGTGCACGAGGCCACCTGTGGGGACAGCAGCACTGACCGCAGGACCAAGGTTCATGTTTTTATTGACTGTTCACGTATTTTAAAAACATAATTGTATTCACATTTCAACTCAACAAATGTTGTCTGCTGCAGAGCTCAGAGTCGTCTGACCTCTCCGATGGACCAATCACAGTGCATGAATTCATGGAGGTGAAGACTGCCCTCACTGCATCGGAAGCCAAAATACAGCAGCTTCTCAAGGTCAACTGTCACCTCAGTGAAGAGCTGCGGAGCATGCAGGGCAAGGTTCGTCAATTACACTCATTCATAAGCAAACTGGTTATCGTAGATCAGTTTGGTTTTGCAGTTGCAAACTCTACATGCCCTCATAGTTTCATTTCCACCTCTTTAATTCGATGGTAGTACACATTGATATTTCAATAGCCATAATGAGATGTCACTTTGTACTGGATGTATGGTATTTACATCCTCTCTGATGCTGGTGTTGCAGCCTCTCTTTACTCTTAAGCAATTTAACATATTAGTTTGTGTGTGCAAAACTTGATCTATGTTCAAATAGGGCTGGGCGATATATCGAGTTTACACGATACATCGTGGATTGCACTCCATGCGATGTCGTAAATGACCACATCGTGAACATCGAGTATTATGTTGTCAAATCAATTTCCCGCCGCGGCCAAAATGAGCTTTCCTTTCTCCCTCATAGACACAGTCACACACGCAGGCACACACGCAGGCCCCGTCTAACTTGCACACAAACATTACACACATGCACAGTGACAGAGAGCAGGGCTCGACATTATAAATGGCCCGCTGGCTCGGAAGCACTATTTAGACACCCCGGGCCAGCATAACGTACTTTCCACTTGCCCGCTCGGGCCACTAAAAATATTGCTTAAAAAAAATTAAATTGTCCAGTGGTATAGGTACTTTGACAAGCAATGTTGTTAAATTGTTTCGTTTATTAACGCTACAACATAGCGTTTCGTGAGGCGGTTGTCGTTGTTGGGTGAAAGGCAAACGGGAGCCTGCTCTCGCTGGCTCCCGTTTGCCCAGCTGGTTGGGCACGGGCCAGCGCGAGCAGGCTTCCCGTGTCAGGTGGGGCGCGGTGGGTTGGCGTGTGAATCTGGCTGTGCGCGGCGCGGCTGGGGAGCGCCTTTGAGCCGCCGGAGGGCAAAAAACTATCTTCAAATAAAAGAAGTTCACCGGAGGGTTTAAGGAGTTGGGATGTGACAGGAAGCAGAATCATGAAAAACAAGCCACCGCGAAAACACGATATCAGCCCATGATCGCTGGAGTGGAAGACTATCTAAGCCCGAAGCCAGCCGCGACAGCCCCAGTTTCCATAAAATCCCCTACATCAGATAAATCCTCCCACACAAAAAACCCGCGACCACCCGAACACAAACATGATATAACCAACAGCAAAACAAAGAACATCATAATCAGAGAATATACAAAGGCATCATTAACCAAGAAAAAATAGATACAAAAAACAAACAAAACAATAAGCAAGAGAACAAAACATAACACGTATCGAATAGTTCTTAAATTACCGGTACAAGGAAAATACCTAAAAACCAAGCGAGAAACAAGCAACATGTGGGAAGTAAATTATCGGGGACATCAAACAAACCATAAAACAGACACTTACAACTAAGGGCACCAGCTGCAGAGAACAACCACGTGCATCTATTCAAAACCACAGGAGGACTCCCAAAAGCATCACCTTTAATGTACCGAACATATTATCCACAATATAAACACTCCTACGATGCGCGAAACGTCCAACATTCGCTCAACTATTAGCGAACCCAAAACTAACTAAGAAGCGAGACAACCACTGGACACAGAAGAATAAGCAAGACACAACAAAAAACAAAATCATAAAGTACAACAACACCTGCAAAAACCCACCCCAAATATCATCCACCGACAGATTAAACACACAGACAGGAAACGACAACAGACACATAACACTCACACAGCAAAAATAAAAAAAAACATACGTTCACACACCACAGCTCCTACTCAATATTCATTGAATTGACCCAACCCATACCACAAATAACAGGTCTTCTTGTACACAGAGCCACCAAAACAACACATCAAAACGGCACCAAACCTAACATCAAAACACACATCACAAGCATAGCATTCACGGGTTCTGACCTATGCGAAACAAGAATACCGTGAGAAGAGTCGAATCAAATCCCACAACCAACGACCCCGCACCACCAGAACCGCACCAAATAAAGCAAGGAACCTAACTCTGCCAAACAATAGCACAGACAAAAACAGCGACTCTAAAACAAAAAACAAAGAAGATAAG